CTGTTAGCGATCTGCGAGGTTAGTGCAAGAAAAAATGATTGTACCGGTAAGCCTAGTGTGTTCCAACCTGAGTTTTGACATATTTTGAAAAGCTCATCCCATGCTCCACTACAGCAACTGATTACAAAAAGTGCATGATTATTGCAACCCTAATAGGTGCTTCTGCTCATGCACTGATTTTAACAAACTTGATCGATGAGAATCTTACAACTATTGTTATAACAAATGGTATCGGTACAGCAGATGACATTTTTTAAAATACTAAACTTTTAGTTAGTATGCACTCTTTAGTTATCTCAAGCAAAATTTTGTTTTTGACATTTTTAACATTTCGAGCACAGCAAAATCTGAGCAGGCGAAAGGGCTCTTAGCGTTTTCCAAATGCTGCAAACAAATGAGCTCTTAGTAACAAATGGTATGATGCAAACAGATGAGCTCTGCTTACTTCTAAATTTTTTGATCGTTGCTTATTAGATTCATGGGAAGCACTGCGGCGACAGCAACGACATTATTGAAGGTCGTCCGGTAGGAGCTGTACGGATCTCATTCGGTCGTCAGTCCACTCAGCAAGTATACTTTTCTTCTCTTTGTAAGAACTAAATCATATTAACACTTGTTGCCGGCGGTAAACCATACGGCGATAAACCGGTTTTTTTTGCTGAAAATACACTTTTTTAAAAAATTTAAAAATAGTTTTTCGCTACGGAATGCTATCTGCTCCGCTTGTGACCAACGCTAAAATAAGCTATTTCTTCACTTTTTCTTTTTTTTTTCAAGGATCTGGAAGCTTTTCGTGAGATGCTTGGTTCGTGCTTTCTTATTTCCTCTTGGCCGCAACCATCATCAACATTATCCATGTGTCCAAGCAACAGTAAACCTTTTCTGAGCGCTGTGTATCTTTATCCAATTAAAGGCTGTTCTTCAATCACTGCAGATGAGTTCAGTTTTATAATTAGCGCATGCATGCTGTAATGATAGTCCTTTTTGTGTGTGTCTTGTCGTTATACAATTACTTTACTGTACTAGTAAAAAGAGCTTTTCTAGCTTTAATTCGCCAGTGCGAAAGCATTTCCTCTACTACCGTTTGATTTGTTTTAACGATGAATTAGTAATGGCCCTCCCGGCGTCTAGAAACTCAACCAATCTCCAAATAGCTCACAAGCAACACTCGAAAGGAGATTCTTCGACAGCCTTGCCAGCCTCAGTCGCTGATACCCAAAAAATGTCACTGTTACCATTCGCCTCACTTTCGAAAACATCTGTCTCCTTAATAAACGGAAAGCGATTGAGGCTGTAAGGGAAGGGGAGGAGAAGAAAGAAGGAGGGGAGCGGGGGGAGGGGAAGAAGGAGGGAAAAGGCAGAGGGCAAAGCGGATGAGGCGAAAAGAATGGTTTGGTCTTCAACTTCATTATATTTAATGAAATTTAGTGAAGGGTGCAGCGAAGTACTGTGTTAAAAATAGAACTTGACCATCCAAAGATTTGCCGGAATTGATGAATAGTGGTAGCCGGGCATCCCATCGTGCGAAATATTTTATTTTTAATTGGGCTTTTTTACAGATGGACTATATCACAAACGGGCATGGCGTATGACCGGTGCTGGAAGGTCGCAAAACAAAATGGTCTAGCGTTGAACCAGAAACGAATACCCCGACTGTGTTTAGTCCAGCCCCAGGCAGGCGTTTTAAATAAGGATCAAT